GGTGGGGTGAGGGCTAGCACACTCACCTGTCTCCCCTTCTGACCAGGCTCTCCTGGCTCACCCATGTTACCCTTGGCACCCTAAAAGCAGATGCAGAGAAAAGGGTAAACTGAGGTAGGGTGGGGTGGTGGGAATCCTGCAACAGCGCGTCTGAGAGGTGGCATAGCAAAGGCCACTCTCCCCCCTCCCCCCACGTGGAGGCATCTCTGAGTCAGCCACACCTCAAGGATCCTGGCCTGTTAGACCAGGGTTGGCTTTGATCCGCTTCTCTGAGCCCTGACAGAAGCTTCTTATGAAGCTGCCTGCAAAATGGAGCAGAACAGCCCCTGAGGGTGGGAGCATCCCACACAGGAGTCCCTTCTGCACCCAGTGGCCATGAACCCAGTCAACACTGGGCCCTAATTCTCCACTGATACCTGGGTCAGGAAGATTAATTCCTCTAAGTGACTTTAGACAGAGCAGGACTTCAGAAAACTCTGTAAAGTTTACACTCCCTTGAAATAATAACACTTTAACTATATAACAGAACTTTATTAAATAATTTCATCTATTTATTGATATGCTTACAACTTAAGTGCAAAAAGAGGCAGAGGAAAGGAGAATTAAAAGGTCAGAGGAGAGAGGGAGGAGAGTCAAGCAGAAGTCAGAGATGGGGTCAGAGGCTTCTGGAACATCAAGGGTGTGTCCTGTTCTTGGTTCCCCTTGGCACCTCGCTGCCCCTCAGACACTAACCACAGTGACCCCTATGGCAGCTTCCACCCACAAGGACCCAGGCCACCGCACTGTTGTAGGCAGCCAAAGCTACCCTGAGTGGCAAATTCATTACCAGCTGTGGCAGGGTGGGCAATGTCAGCAGGACAGGAGAAACTAGGGAAGGAGGGTGAGGGTTTGCCTGGATGCCTGGCAACCACATCCCATGCTGGAGAAAGTGTTTCCAGATACCTGCTGGTTTAGACAGTTCTCATCCAAATTCAGAAAGAAAAATGAAGTTACTTAGTAATAACTTCTTCTATAACATTTTAAAAATTCCTCGTCTCATCTCCTTAGAAGTTCCTTTCTCCTCCCCTCTGCTTTCTTTATGATTTTTCACAGATATGAGTTGTTGGAGTTTCAGATACACTGTGAATTTTGGAACGATTTTCTTTGACATACATTTGTTAGGAGAATGCAGGGTCATTCAAACCAGATTTCCTGAAACCATATATTTAATAAACTGCAAAAGGCCCTGGTTCACATGAATGAGTGCCATGTTAACAACAGCGATGAATCTCATGTTCTATGTACCTACTTGAGCATATGAGGGGGACCCCAAAAGACTCAGAATTTATAAAAGAAATTGTATTTATTCTTGCAGATTTAAACTTCAGTCACCTTGAAAGTACTCTTCATTTGATGCAATATACCTATCAAGACACTTTTTCTATTGCTCAAAACAGTTTTTGAACTGGTCAATTTTGTTGCCTTTTAGTGCATCTGCTGTTTTTTGTTTCACTTCTTCCACATTGGCAAAATGTTTCCCTTTCAGGACATTTTTCATCCAAGGAAACAAAAAATGTCACTCAGGGTGAGAGCAAGTGAATACATAGGGTGGAGCATGGGGGTCATAATGTTTTTGGTAAAAAAACTGCTGACACTCAGTGTGGTGTGGGCAGATGCGATGTCATGGTAGAAGAACTAGTCACATGTTCACCACAAAAAAATTCACAGAAGTTGAATGCAACCTCTCACAACAATGCTAGCTGATCCACTGCTGCCAATGGGTTCCTAGAATACTTACTTAGCGGGAGAAGTCTATACTACAAAGGCCCCACATGCCAAAAGATAATTCAAGTTTTTGGGGGTCCCACCTTGTACTTGTCTACAAAGCTATTTAATGCTTATTTAAAAATTTTTTTTTAAAGTTCCTACTGACTGGGCGCGGTGGCTCAGCCTGTAATCCCAGCACTTTGGGAGGCCAAGATGAGAGGATTGACTGAGCCCCGGGGGGGTCGAGACCAGCCTGGGCAACTTGGTGAGACCTCGTCTCTACAATAAATCACAAAAAACTAGCTGGACATGGTGGTGTGCATCTGTAGTTCCAGCTACTTGGAAGGCTGAGGTGGAAGGATCACCTAAGCCCAGCAGGTCAAGGCTGCGGTGGCCATGAGCGTGCCACTGCACTCCAGCCTGGGCAACAAAGAGTGAGACTCTAAAAAAAAAAAAAGTTCCTACTGTTCTCAAAATACCATTTAAGAGGAAGTGGATAAAAATCAAATTTTAGTTTCTCCAGGGTGAGAAGTGTTGAGACCACCCGAGGCACAGCTGGCCTTGGATACGGAATTCAGATAGGTAGGGCTTCCCAGTAGCACAGACCCCACAGACATCTAGACATCTCACCTTCTGTCCTCGGTACCCCTTGGGACCAGGGGGCCCAGGAATCTCCAGGCAGCTCACCTTGTAGCACTGAAATGGGAAGTGGAAAGATGGCGGGTCAGTCCCCAAGCAGCAGAGCAGGGGCTCAGGACACGCACAGCCCATGCCCTTGGAGGGATCCCAGGGGGTGCCTGACATGCTGCCAAGACTCCAGGCTGTGATGAAGGGGCAGACACCTGCGTCCAACAGGGACAGACTGCAATATGGTTTTCTGTCACGTGTTCCAGGCCAGGTTAAGGATTGAAGAGCAAGGGACATTGGCTAGGCACCATTTGTATGTAGGAATTAAAACACTGCATTTGTGAGTCACTATCCTATAACAGGGAACATTTTGTAGGAAGCCTCAGGGGATAGAGATCTCAGATGCCTGTGGGAGCTGGAGCCGGAGACACACAGGGAGATGGGGCTGTCACAGACCCCAAAGCTGCGGTTCCTGGGCTGGATGTATCGCTGGCCTTTTCCTGATCTGGCTGGGCTGCACTTGGGCCTCGAGTTTGGAGTGAACAGGGCCCACCAGCCTAAATGGCACCTTCAACCTCTCCTCTTAGCATGTGCTCAGTGAGTGACCCTAATGCCGACCCCCTGGGGTTGTAAACAGCCCAGTTTTGTTGGAGCCCTTCATCCAACTCAAACGTCTCGAGGCCCAACACTGGAGCGGGTGGATCCCTCCTCTTCTCGTCCGCTCCAGCCGGCGCAGTCATCTTTGCTGGGCCAGCAGCCTCAGAGGCCCCAGAGGAGGGTGCTGGGCAGTGCTGGTGGGAAAGGCAGTGCCACTCACCTCCCCATAGGCTTCGTGTTTCTGCAGAAAGACAGGGAGGCATACTGGTTAGCTGTACCTTGACATTCAGAGCAGCTACACTGGCATATGGGTGGGGATCACAGGATCCTCGTGTGGTGTGGGCCCTGCCAGGAGCTGGCCTCCTTCGGCCTCTTCACACACACAGGGGTACACTGAGGCCTGGAGCTGGCCACCACCCCATGCGTGGCTGGCAGTCCCAGCCCCCATAACCCCAGGCTCACCATGACCCTGATGATACGATTGATGGTGTCTTGATCGATCTCAGTGGAGTCGGGCAGCATGGTGGCATAGTTGCTGCGGTAGAGCTCGTGTGGTGTACTGGCAATGTCCCGAAGGCCCTGTTCCTTCAGGTTCTGGTTGGGGGCCACGGCGAACAGCCGGATGCCCTCCTCGCGGGCACGCTCAGCCTGAAGCTTGATGCCCCCGCAGGGGCTGCCGGTGACGTGGCCATCGGTGATGACCACGGCGAAGTGCACAGTGCCCCGGCCACCATGCTGCCGGATCTGCTGTGTCATGTTGGCCAGCGCGCAGTCAGTGAAGGTGCCGCGGCGGAACGAGCTGATGCCTTGCAGGCTCTTGATGAAGGACGCACGATCGCTGCCCGGTGGGCTGAACACTTCCACCTGGTCAGAGAAGTGCAGGCCACCGTAGCGCCAGCTCAGGGCCACCTGGTCCAGGTAGAACTCATTCTGCAGTTGGCTGATGAACTGTGGCACAAACTGCTTCATGTGGAACAGGAGGATGTCTGTGGGCGACTGCATGGCCACACTCTCAGAGGTGTCCAGCACGAAGTACACATTGATGGGGCAGTCGGTCTTCTCTGGGGAGGGATATGGGACCATCATGGGCCGGCCACAGGGAAGGACTGCCGACATGGGAGCCCTATCTTGAGGCCTCGGGCCGGCGGCTGATCCCCATCTCCCCCTGCCTGCCCGGAGTCCTCCAGGGCTCCCCAACCCCTGGTACCTGGGCAGTTGTTGTTTCTGTCGGAGGTGCCAGGTGAGATGACCTCTTGCTGTTGAGCCTGGAGGCCACCCAGGAGTCCCCAGAGCAGGAGCGTGGAGCAGGGGCCCCGGAACATCTTGGCAACACTGTGTACCCAGATGCCCTGCAGTGAGGAGAAGGGGCTGCTGCAGACACACCCAACCTCACATATGTCCCATGTTCCCCACTCCTCCCCACAGCAGGGGCAGAGCAGGCCAGTGGGATGGGGGGCATGGCTCTCAGTCTCCAAGGAGATAGGATCTGCTCTTGGAGCACATAGTCCTAACATCTGGGCTGGGGGGCCAAGCCCTCTCTCCACCTGCCCGCACCCACAGACATCTAGTGGATGCATCTACCTTAGTTCTGAGTGGGATTTGAATGCAAGGCCCCTCCCTGTCTTCTGGAGCCCAGGCGCAGCAGGTCGACAGCACATTTGCATGAACTCTGGAGCCTCCCCCTATGCCAGGTTTGTCTTGGATATTGTGGCAGAGGAGAGGGTAGAGGAGATCTCAGCTTCACCCAGGGGACGGACTTGCAGTCCCAGCCATGTGACCCTGGGCTAGGCTGGTTCTGTCCCTTTTAAACAGGACATTGATAAGGACAGAGGGAGAATGCTGTCAAGTGCAGGGGACCTAGTCATTATTAGTCTGGTTGTCCTTTCTGTTGGGTGCCAGACCCCCAGAGGAAATAGATCCACCTCTTCTCCCATGAGTGTCTTCTCTGATGCCCTGTGGGTAGGCCTGAGCTTGAGAAGGCTGCAAGGACAGGCCCAGAACTGACTTTTCCTGTGCCTGCAGCAACTGGGTTGAACGGGCACAAGAACCCAGATCAAAACATTTTAGCACTGGAACTGGGGCAGGGACTGCTAGGAGAGGGCCCCGCAAGGGTTTCCGCATTTGTGCAGCATCTTGTGTGGTTGGGATGACCCAGGTGAGACCCGCCAGCCCAGGAACCAGGGAGAGATGGAAACACTGGGAAGAGATTTGTTCTTAAAGGCTCCAGCCCAGGAAGTTTGTGGGTGAGATCTTTCACACCCTCAAAGACAAGCACTTCTCGGCTGTTTAACCTGTATCAGGGCATTAAAAAGAAAAAAAAACTGTATCCAATGCTTTTTAAATCTGGCATAACCTGAGACTTCAAAAGTCCTTAAAAAAAAATCTTAAAAATAAGTCCCTAAAAGTAACTCTATGGATAAATATCACTTTAAAATCTAGTTACAAGCTGGGCTCAGTGGCTCAGTCTGTAATCCCGCGCCTTGGGAGGCTGAGGTGAGTGGATTGCCTGAGCCCGCAGGTTCGAGACCTGCCTGGGCAACTTGGCGAGACCTCATCTCTACAATAAATCAAAAAATTAGCCGGGCGTGGTAGCGCGCACCTGTAGTTCCAGCAACTTGAAAGGCTGAGGCGGAAGGATCGCCAGAGTCCAGCAGGTAGAGGCTGCAGTGGCTGGGAGCGGCCACTGCACTCCAATCTGGGCAACAGAGTGAGATTCCAACTCACACACACACAAAAATCTAGTTACAAAAATCCTAACCAATATTAAGAAATAAAATCCAGTAGTAATTAAGGACTACTACACTAGAACTAAGATGAACTTAGTTAAAATACAATGGTGCAACAAACATTAGGAAATATATTCCTGAAAATCACACTAACAAAAAGAGAAAAATATGCAATTGCTTTAATACATCCTCGAAATATCCATTTCTAATTAAGAAATATAAAACAGACAAGACAAAACCTCACAAGAAACTTAGGAGTATAATTGACATTATAAAGGCAATGAAATTTTTAATTTTTAATTTTATTTTTTTAGAAAGCAGGATTTATTGAGAGGACAGAAAAGTTCTCAGAGAGGGAGGGAGGGAACCTGACGGGGTTGTCCCCATAAATTTCAAATCAACATCTAACAACACTTTTTACACAGAACACTATAATACTAGTTTTTGTCTTTGTGGATCTTGGATCCCTTTAAGAATCTGGATAATTTCACCTGGCACAAATGCACAGACACTCATATACAGAAATTATGCCCACATATTCAGAGATTCCATAGATCTGACCCTGAATTAAAAACTCCTGCATTAGAAGAATGCCTATTAGAGTACAAAAAGGGCAAAGAATGCTGACTTCACTCTACTATTTGGTGTTGTGCTGGTAGCCAATGCAATAAGACAGTAAAAAAGAAACAAAGTATGGAAAAGAAGAGACAGAACTTTCCTTATTAAAGATAGGATTGTCTACCTAGAACATTCAAGAAAATAAACTGAATGAAATTATTGAAGGGAGGGAAGGGACAGAAAGAGAATTTAGTGAGCCAGTTAAATATACACAAAAAGTTATTGCTTTTTGCATTTGTACTGAGCCTCTTGTTAATATGATGGCTTCTTTTTTTTCTTGTAACCTTTTTTGTTTCAAAGCCTATTTTATCCAATATTAGCATAGCTACTCCTGCTCTCTTTTTGTTATTATTTGAATGAAATATCCTTTCCCATTTTTTTACTGTCAAACTATTTGTCTTCAGATCTACAGTGAGCTCTTGTAGAGAGCATACAGTTGGATTAAGGTATTTAAAACCCATTCTGCCTGTCTCTGTCTTTTGATTGGAGTGTTTAATTCATTTACATTTAAAGTGGTTACTGAAGCTGGGCTCGGTGGCTCAGCCTGTAATCCCGTGCCTTTGGGAGGCTGAGGTGAGTGGACTGCCTGAGCCCGCGGGTTCGAGACCTGCTTGGGCAGGCGAAACCTCATCTCTACAATAAAATCAAAAACTTAGCCAGGTGTGGTAGTGCATGCCTGTAATTCCAGCTACTCGGAAGGCTGAGGCGGAAGGATC